AATGATACAAATGAACTTATTTACAAAACAGAAATAGACTCAGACACAGAAAACAAACTTATGGTTACCAAAGGGGAAAGCAAGGGGTAGTGCGGGAGGGATAAATTAGGAGCCTGGGATTAGCAGATACGCATTATTATATATAAAATAGATAAACAACAAGGACCTACTGTATAGCACAGGGAACTATATTCAGTATCTTATAATAACCTATAATGGAAAAGAATCTATATATATAGCAAAATTATATATATATATATATATAAAATAAAATATATATAAAATTTTGCTATACACCTGAAACTAACACAACATTGTAAATTAACTACATTTCAATTTTTAAAAAATCGTTAAAAACACTATTCTTCCTAATATCGAGCTATATGCAGCCTTTTTAAAATATATGTAAGAAATGTGATTTAGATTTTAAGAATATATATATATATATATATATATATTCCTAAATGTGCAATGATTTGCAGACATACAAATGTGAGGTATTTTTACCAGAATGAAATAGTGACACATGATTATCAATCTGAATAACAAAATGAAAATTAATTTACATTAAAAAATTATTTTATTTTCCTTTTGCATGCTGACCAAACACCATAAGTTAAATACATCAAGTTGAAAATAAAATTTATTCTTGACTAAACTAAAAAAAAAAAGAAAGCAGGGTATAAAACATAAGGGAGATACACATACCTTCTCCACTGAGACTTCAGGTTGAGGTTCTAAGGAAATTCAATTTAAAGCACTTTGTAGAGGAGCAGTTAGGAACAGCAAATATTTTAAACCATCTGCATCTCTAATATGCTCAGAACTTAGGAGAATTGAGAAGTCTGAGTTAAGCAGAAGTGACCACAGCAGAGTCAGCCATCTCCATAGCTGTGAAATCCTAAATTTCTTTTCATTTGGTTAGAAAAAGGCAACATTATATTGTCTTACGGAGTGAGGGCTCACCAGAGGCCGCTGCAGTGTGTAAAATAAATGGTCTGGCTACCAAGACCTCTTCTGGGGCAAGGAAGAAACCCAAGTTCCCTTAAGTCTTTATAGGAATAACGGAACCTAAGAGTTGTACTGTCTTTTGTGGTTTTCAAATATTTTAATACTTGTTTTGAGTTTTAATCATGCAAACCTTTTGTTTGAGCTATGAACAGCTTGTGGTTTGAGAACCATAGATAGCTCTATAAGTGAATTACAGTCGTCCATTCCCATCCCATCATCCCAGGCTCCAGCCAACTTTGGGACCAGTGACCACCACACCGGATGGTGTGAGAGTCTGTGTTTCATCAGCTACCAGCTTCTAGCTACACTGTTCATCCCTTTTAGGATGTGATTGTCTTCCCCAGTTGTCCGTGCTCACAGACAGCAGAATCGTACTAGTTTTCACTTGGTAAAGTAGTCATTTAATTTATCCCAGGGAGCAGAGTACCATGTTATCAGTTCATTAGCAAAGTGATAGACACAGAAGATCAACAGTTGGCCTTCAGTGTGTTTTGCCTGAAAGAGACAATATATCTTGAAATGCTGGAATGCTACCCAGCTTTGAATTACTCCTGAAGCAGCTCGATATGAAACTGTTCTTTTATTCTTCTTCTGCCGTAAACGAGCATCCCAGAATCAAATCCATTGAGAAGAAACTACTTGCTTTGCCAACACAATTAGTTTTGTGAGATGCCTCTGTCTTCAGATTGTTCTCCTCCAAAGTCCAAGTTGGATGGCTGGGGTTATTTTTTTAATTAATTTTCTAAGAGCCCCCGCCCCCCCCCCCAGCCCTGGTCTCCCAAGAGCCTCTAAGCAGATTTAGCTGGCTTAAAGTGACTCTTCTGCAAGGTGATTTCAATGCCATCTCACAAGCAAATAAAACAGTGACTTTTCTACGTTGGAGGCTCTGTATTTTCCTGCTCTCCTTTAATTTTCATGAAACCTGTCCACTGGAGGGAGTTTTCCTTCAGGGTAAGGCTGTCTGCTCTCCAAAAATGGTGCTATCATTTTGATGAACGAAAAGGCCATGAACCCTGTCCAGCTACGAAAAGGAGCGAGAGGAGAAAAAAATCTGGAATTTTCATGTTTTCAGTGTGAAGAGCAAGAGGACTCAGTGATTATTATTATCTTTTAAGGTTTATTTTTATATTCCTCTTTCTTTTATTGCCCTTCGATCCTTTAATAAGCGGATGGTAATGGAAAAGCTAATTCCGATCTTCATGTTTAGTATCCCTCTCCACAAACATTCTATAGGGGGCCTGGCACCTTTACACTTCATGGGATCAGGCAGCTCAGATCATAAGCATCATAATTGCTTGGCCCCCTTAGTGCTGTGGGCTCTGATTAAAAAGTCCTATTGAGCTCAGAGTCTTTTAAAGGAAGGCAGCTAATGTGATGGTTAAAACTGAAATAGCACAGGCACAGATGCTCGAAATACATTCTTTTGTCACAGTCTTCCTTGGAAAGAGTTTTCACACATCTAATCAATGTTTCCTTTCATAAAAGAGATTCTCCTCCTGTATGTAAACACCAGTTGGACTGTGCTTGACCCTAGTTTCTTCAGCCTTAATGCTGAAAACCAATAGACCCAAAGGTAAAAACAGCGTAATGGTTATTAGTCTTCAAAGTGAAGACCCGGGTCGCCTTTGGTTTGGTAAGGTCTCAGGGCTTATTCTCTTGGAAGAGAAAAGCAGAAATAGTTCTCTTTGCAAATGAAAGGATTTCATGGGGACAAGAGAATCTTGACATCATTCTTGATGATAACTGTCGTCCTATTTTAAATCCTGACCACTCTCCAAGTTGTAAGTTGATGGCGGAATTATCAACATGCATTCACTAGGTCAATTTTGTTGACCTTCGATCCATCAAAACCTAAGTTTGGGAACTATGATGGCAAAATCTGGCCATGCTATTTCAGATCTGCCCTTCTAAAAGGGATGGATATTGCACGACATGAGTTGCACAGCTAGACCTTTGTATAAGTTGGTGTGGTTGGTGTTCCCTTAGACCCTGAGCTGAGTGCCTTGTGACCAGCCACCACCGCGAGCATCCGTATTCTTGGCTGTTCCTCCTTTGTGTGCATTTTGGAGTTAAAGGTGAAATTCCATCTTTAACCCCCTTGTGGTGGTCCGACCAGTGATTAATGAACTAGACATGATTCCTTGCAGACCTTTCAAAGGCTGGATGAAGGATGGAATTTCAGCCTTGTTTGGTTTTTTTTTCCTTTAAACCAGGCCTTTTGCTTAATACAGCTTTTAAAATTAATGTCCTTTTTTGAATGCCAAGAAAACAAAGGGAATTTCTCGAAAGTGTGTGCAGCTTGACACAATAGGCCTTAATTGGTGTCAAGGAGACGTGAGGATGAGTGGGAAAATGCCCATTTGGCTGATAAGACTGAAAAGTGGAGCCTTGTTATGAGCTGTCATCTCAACGTGTATTTAAACTATAGCAAAACTGAAACATATTTGCCATATAGATCATAATGACTCATTATACTCTATTATATAATTACATAATCAAAGCATGCATAGTAATCAGCTTTTGGAATTCAATGCTAATCAAACATACCTATAGTATGTGTTTAAGCTAAAATAGAGAACGTTAATTTGCCATTAGTCAACTAAACAAGAATGTGTATACAGAATATTCATGAATAGCTTAATATTGTGTCAGATGATTTTTTTTATTTGTATTCAGAGGAAATCAACAATTTTAATTGGAGAAAAAAAACAGTATGGAAAGAAGATTATTATTCTTTAAGTTGCTGTTGAAAAATCTGTCTCACCTTTTACTGATTATAAAAGGAGATTAGATTAAATGCAATAGTTTTTCCTACCAGAAGCACCAGCAACACAATAGAAATTCTATTACAGGACATTCTTAGGAGATCCTGGCCATTTCCATGCCGCAGGAGAAAGGGTTAGGAATACTACGCCTAAAACAAAGCTTTGGAAAAAATCAATCAGTCAATCTTGAGCATATATTGCTTTTGTAATCAGAAACAAGTCAGTAAATGTTATTTAGAAGTGACCTCTTGGCCAGTAGAAATACCTTGATGCGCCTTTAGAAGATGTGGCCTCTACCCTTGCTGGGCTGCACACTTGCCCTGTGATCTTACACATCTCCTCCCTGGACCTCAGTGTCTTCCTCTGTAATATGAGAGAGGATCTGGAGGTTCCTTTCAGCTCTGTTTACCTTTGATTCCACAAGGGTTCTATGAAAAAGAAGATGAGACAAAGGAAGAGTTTTGGTCCATGTCACATGTTTATTTCAACCCTCAGCTTATGAACTGTATGGTTCGCATTCGTAATTATTTTGACCATTTTGTCGACAGTCCTTGGAGCAGGCAGTCAACAAATCCGACTTTACTGTTTGGGATAGCAAAACATGGATGAGGATCAAAAAGGTTAAGAGTAGCTCTGTAAACAGCAGACAGATTGAATGCTTTGGATTTTAAATAAATATTCAAGTATTCACCAAGGTTGAAATATTGCCTCTCTTTGAAATGAAGAATTGTATTTATGTTGAAGAGGTCTCACCCTTCACCCCTAATCCATGGCTGATGGACCCACCTCTTTTGACACTGGTTCTCACTGTCTCTCATCTGCACATTGGATGACTGAAAATGTTCCTGTAATATATAAAGGGGACTAAGTTCTTCCCCCAAAGGCTCTCGTGGCTTGAACTTCAAATAATTTATTTTCAAATTACTTTTACAGTAATTCTTATTAATTCAAATAGGCTTCTGATTTGATATAAAACTCTAAATGCAAGGAAGAGTTTAATGAATTGAAAGATAGGATTGAGTCTTTTAAAGGAAATGTACAAAATGTGCTGACAATAATTGCTTAGATAGAAATCACATCTTAATGGCCTTGTTAATGATTTGTAGTGTTTACATTGACTTGGGGGAACATACGCAGTTAGAAAGATTTTCCCCTCTGGATTTCAAGAGAATCTTAATTTTTTTTTTCTTTTCCTGAGATGTGCTCTGAGAGATGTTAGCAGGCATGGCGGTGCCTCTGTTGGTGATGGTTGTATTTGGGTGGAGGTAGGGGTCTGTTTTCCTTTCAAGTTGGGCACATATCTGACATGATTGTAAAAATAGGATACAACAGAAATGAGAATGAGGGCAAAGCCATTTGAAGCTTTAAGACACAGCTCACACACCCATAGGATAGAAGAGTTTCAAAAACATGCAGGTGTTTTGACTCTTTGGAAAGTCTGAACTTAGATACGTCTTGGAGGGAAAGAATGAATAATCAGAAACCTTTAATTAGTGTAAAATTTCAAGAGCTATGGTGGCTTTTTAAAATTAATGACTACCTTGATCACCAACAGGATGGGATGATTTTTTTTAATTTTTTTGGACAGCCTGTATTTTGGGTTTGACTTTTGCCTATTTAGACAGCCTGACTATGCTGATTAAATGTTAGGTTCAGCCTTTCATACAGCAGAGGATTTTTAAAAAAGGTTTCCCTAATATGATTTTGCTACTGAAGGAGGCGGTCAGGGAACTTTTATTTGCTCTTTCTCTCGGCAAACTGTCTTCCCAGTTAAGAGTCATTGAAGCTCCTTGGAGTCAGTGAGCGTTCACATCGTTGCCATAGTATAAACCGAATTCTGTTCTAACTGTGACTTGCCCTTTTATTATAGACTTGACTGGAGAGACTCCCCCGGTGTAAATGAAGTGCTTTATTTATTAACAGCCAGGCAGTGGGGGCGAGAGCTCTCGGTGCTGGCAAATGCCGTCCAGGCACTGGTAATAAAGGCGTTCTCCGGGGGCAGGGTGCGCTGAGTGCTAAATGGAGGCAGCAGTAGTAAACAAGGTGTTTTACATTCAGGACAGTTTCTCTCTCATCTTGAAGTGTGTAATTGTGTTCTGGATAAATTATGGAAATTTGAAAAAAAAAATCAGGAGTTGCTCATAGGGAAATCACCCTCTTTAAAAAAGAGTAAATTTTCCAAGGAAGAGCCAGGAGATCCTTGGCAACAAATCCTGGTGTTGGCTGGTTCAAGAGTACACACTGTATGGGCTGCAGAGGCTGACAGATCTGGGTTCAAACACCAGCTCAGCCACTTCGCTGAATTACACTAGGCAGCTTATTTAAGTTTTCCTGTGTCTCAGGTTCTTAATCTTTAGAGTGGTGATACCAAAAACCCCAGGAGTTTGAGAAGGAAAAGCGTGCAAAGAAACCAGCGTCTCGTCTCCACGTAAACGTGTGTCAGGATGTCATTTCTCATTTGCGCTTCTTGCTTTTTTGTTGTTTTTTTTTTCTTTTTCATTATTAAAGTATAGTCAGTTTACAATGTGTGTCAATTTCTGGTGTACAGCATCATGTTTCAGTCATCCATGTACATATATATATTCCTTTTCATATTCTTTCTCATAGGTTACTGCAAGATAATGAATATAGTTCCCTGAGCTTCTTGCTTTCATTTGCCCCATCACCCTCTTCAGGCAGTTAGATTGTGGGTCGAATAGATTCCAACCCATGCTGATGTCCTGTGTAATTTACATAGGGTATGTAACCAAATGAGGTTTCAGGAAAGAATCCATGAGTTCAGCCAACTGATGATTGAATAAATGGAGGATTTATGAGCCCACTGAATCCCCACCCTCCCTCCAGCCCTAACCTACTCAGTCGAAACCATCTTTACTGATCATCAAAATAAATTTCATCTTTTTTTTTAAGATAATATGCTTTTTCTTCCTTATAATAAATGTCCTGGCAACTTCGAGAGTACTATGGGAGACTTGCTCGTGAGTGAATGGTCCTCTCCAATGCCACAGTTTTTTGTTTTTGTTGGGGTTTTTTTTTAATTGAAGTATAGACACTTTACAATGTTGTGTTAATTTCTACTGTACAGCATAGTGACTCATTTATACATATATATGCATATATATTCCTTTTCATATTTGTTTCCATTATCAGCTATTGCAAGATATTGAATATAGTTCCCCATGCTCTACAGTAAGACCTTGTTGTTTATCTATTTTACGTATAGTAGTTTGTATCTGCAAATCCCAAACTCCTAATTTATCCCTCCACCCCCAACCAATGCCAGAGTTTTATTTTTAGTATATGTGGGGCAAATAAGTAAGTTACAGGGAATATGGTTGCTGGTTTAAATTAAAATCCATTTTGATTCTGTCTCCTGAACCTCACCCACATGTACCAGTTAGCAATCAAAAGTGTCTATACATGTCAGACATTGTTCTACTCCTAAAATAAATCACTTTGCTGTTAACAGCCTTATTTAATGTCTGTGGTATATTGTATCTACTTGATTTCTTTTGCCCAGAACATGTGCTATTTCTGCCTTGACAGTACGTCTGCTAATTGAGTTTTAGAAAATCAGAAAGGTATTTAAAATGGATTATTTAAGAAAGGTACCAAAGTTGCCTGTTTGTATCCTTCTGCTGCACATCAAGTGGTGTTTTGTAACAACCCAACTGTCATGGTATCTGTTTCAAGGGGAAATCTATCAAGTCACGGTGCACCCTTCTGTTTGGAAGAAATATTTGAGGATGGGAGCAGAAATTATTTTTACAGAAAAGCTTCAGGCAGTTAAGAGTACTGACATACATATCATATTTTCATCACTGTCATTCACTTCCCTTGCCTCAAATAAATAGGTCATTATTATTCCACTGCATCCATCTTATGATGCTCGAAGTACGGAGCTCTGTTTAATAGAACTGCTGTCCAGCTGACCCATATAATTTATTGATGGTTTTTACACGGTGACATCCTTGGGCCACTAGCATCAGCCAAGGCACTTTGATATCTTTCAGCACTTATAATTTTTTAGCATTAGTATTATAACCATGTTAGCATAGTTAGGAATTGTCATTTTCCAAGACACTGGTGGCCTTAGCAATTTCAAAAAATAATACAGTAATGATGATGATAGCACCGTGGATTTGCAGAGCAAATCTCTGCTAGGTGCCAGAGCACAGCAGGGCGCAGATTTGCAGACGGCAAAAATTTTACCTGAAAGATTTATTCAATAATGACACCTTAAAGTGATCTGATCTTGTATTACTTAATTATAAATAGTAAATCAGAATGTTTAGACATTTTAAGAAGTGAACCAACAACAACAGAAACCTGTCTGGTTCTGTCTTACCTTCCTCGCTTAAAACACAAAGTCACAGTCAAGTCCTCTGCGCCCACCTCCTTTGCAAATGTTTTATAGCCTTAATACGAATATAGACAGAATATACTAGGATTCTGAGTCAAGGCTATAATTAGAGTTGCTAGTTATTTCCACAGAAACTACTCTGTTAGAGAATAATTGAATTGCAGCTGGTTTTAAGTTCCGGGAGCTGCGAGATGGTAGTCAGGACCTGTAAGGCCTTGCACTAAGGCCTTTCACCAGGCAGCCGTTCCATATGTTCCTTTTATAATTGAAGATTCTTATTTGTGTCGCTAATCAACTTCCTTCAGATAGAAGAAATCTCCACAATGTAGTAGGCCACGTTTGGTATTCCAGTCCCCTCAAGGCACGTCCCGTGACTTGAGACAGCCTAGCATTTGAATCATGCAGTTTAGTTTTTCCTTAATTTTCTGACTAGGTGGGGTTACCCCGAGGGAATACGGTGATTGTCCGTCCCATGCAGACTTTGACCAGGGCCAGCAAAAGCACCCGGAAGAGCTTGCTTGGTTGGCAGGAATTCCCTCTTCCTTCTCCTAGTCTCAGATCTGGGAATAAACTGCTCCCTCCAGCCAGGTTCTGACTTCGGTAATCCACGGAGGGAAACGCAAGCATCCCTTCCTTTCCTCTGATCACTCTTTCTCTTTGTTGTCATTCTGTGACGCTGTTCTGCCCACTAAGCTCTCACTGCCGAATCAAACCAGGGGAAATTTACCCTTTCACTCACTACAAGCCCTGTGGGCCTCGTTCTCACACCCGGGCTAATTCCCTGGACCACAGGTCTCCGGGTTGGGTTTCATTTTGGTTTGCTCCTCAAGCATCAAGGAGTTTTATTTATCTGTGGCTCTAATAATTCTTTTTTTTTCCTTATCCCTTCAGCATCCTCTTTTCTAATCCTCCGCCAGAGGCTGGTCTATTTCTAGGTGGATTTGGCTTAAAGCCATGTTAGACGCCCCTTCTCACACTTCCCCACTATGTCCTGCCAAAAAAGGATCCTTCAGCAGAAATATGATAGCAGGTGGAAATCCTCCATTTACTCTAATTACATCTCTATTTATGCTGTCTCATTTTTTTTTTAGAATAGTATTTATCTTTGACCTTTGTTTCTTCATGTGACAAAGTTTTTTTTAGAGAGTGAATAAGACACCCTGAGTTGATACATAATTGCACAGAGAGCTCCTTGAGAGCAGAGACCCGGAGCCGTGGTTCTGCTCCCCACCCTACTCCCAACACGTATGGTTGCTTAGTGTGGATTTGACGTCTAGAGAAGCGATGGGGGTGATGATTATAGCAACAGCCACTTAGTCAGTTTTATGAGAAGCTAGGCACAGTACTAACCGCTTTATATTTATTATCTTCCTTAATCCTCCCAACAGCTCTGTGAGATAGTTTGTAATTACCATCCCCATTTTGCAAATGAGGCCCTGTTCTCAGACACTTTACCTGAGATCAGCTAAAAAGCAATCTCTCTTTTCCCCCTTCCTGATGGACCATTATACCTTTTTTTTTTTTTCCTGTACTTTCTGTTCTCTAAATGGGGATTAGGAATCAGTTGTTACCAATATGGCAGCTCCTTAAAGGCTAGGACAACGCTGTGTACTCCTCCGTCGCCTGCTGTGCTGGGTGCAGAGCTGGACTGTCAGCAGTTGCTTCATCTTTTGCTTTTGAAATTGAAGTCTCCTCTCCTTCTACCTGTGCTGTGGATCATTTAGGACCTTGATGAGGGGCCCTGGCTGCTGTCACTTATCTTAGAGGCAACAAAATGGAGCAGATCTGGAGATAAGCCTTCTCTCAGTGGATCTGAAAGATGAGACTTTTTGACAAGTTCTGTAAGAGATTTTCTAAATGACAGGAGGGAGTAGTCTATAGAAGGGGTGTGGTTCAGGGCTGCCTGGGGCTTTGGTTGTAGGTCCTGAGAGCAGATTGACAAACTGAACTGTGAGCCTTCCCAGGTTTCTATTGAGATTCCGGGGAGTCTTGGCCAGGCAGGTCCCCACCCCCACACAATAAATAGCTGGGCATTCAAGGGCATGTGTGGTGCAGTTGAGTACAGCCATCCTTTGGTGTCCGCAGAGGAGTGACACCAAAAATCTGAGGATGCTCAAGTCCCTAATGTAAAATGTATCTTTAAATCATCTCTAGATTACTTACAATACTAACAATGTAAATGTAATATAAATAGTTGTAAATGCAACGTAAATGCTGTGTATATAGTTTCCGGCATGTGCAAATCCAAGCTTTGCTTTTGAGAACTTTCTAAATTTTTTTTTCCTATCTACGGTTGGCTGAATCTGGGGATGCAGAACCCGTGGATAAGGAGGGCTGGACTGTGTGCATACTTCCCCTGTTCCCTCTGTGAGAGCTGCATTTCCTCATGCCCACCCATGCTCCGACCTCCCCACACCTCTCCAGCATACTGATCAGCTAGGAAAAACACTGGAGCCTGGGCTGGAACTCAGGCATCCCATCTTCTGAGAGCACGCTGTCTCCAGACATAGTTGTGTTTTGCCCCTAGATCTCTGGCTCAGAGTAATAGACTCATTTTGTGGACCGCGGAGAAAGGCACACGTGTCAGCCTTTCCGAATGTTACTACTGATGTCTGTTTTCTGATACACTTCTTGTTTCCCATTTTAATTCATCCTACTAACCAAATTTTAATTGATGGGAATTTTTTTCTCCTTTTTTTAAGGTGATGGACAGAATTTGTTTACAAAAGACGTGACAGTGATCGAGGGAGAAGTTGCAACCATCAGCTGCCAAGTCAATAAGAGTGACGACTCCGTTATTCAACTACTGAATCCCAACAGGCAGACCATTTATTTCAGGGACTTCAGGCGTAAGTTTCCATCTCTATAGTATTTTTTCCTACATGTTGTCTTGATAAAGAGATTACCAAGGCCTCCTTTTTTCCCCCCTAATTTAACATTAGATGCTTAACGTTTAATCAGTTCTTTAGAGGGAAGAAGAGACATGCAGTTATCATCTTCCTACCTGATAGAAACCTTGACTGGTCCTTCTTAAAAGTAAGGCAGTCTTACTTTGCAATAGGCATTGATTGTAGTAATTCAAGGTGAATTGCAGTTGAGTCCCAAATACGTAGCCGACACAGCAACTCAAATAGGGTAAAGCAAGGCAAATATATCATTCTGAAAGGTAATCTGTTTGGTTTGAAGACTGAAGTCTCCAAGGTAGTCTGTGCCTATAAAGATTCTCCCCAAACCAAATCTCCTGCCAACATAGCCTGTGGTAGATGGGGGTGTCCATGTGCTAAAATCCTTCTAAACATAATATCACAAAAACCAATAATGGAAACTTAATTGTATGTCATAGAAGTGGTTCAGATGGGTGTCATGGCTTGGAAAGAGCAAGAAGCAGGTCTTTCAAAAAACTGCTCTTTGAGAGCATTGGTGCTTAACCAAAGCGAGTGTCGGGCCTGTCCCTTCCTGCCTAGTCTCCATTCTTCCCAGCACCTCAGAACATCCATGACCTGTGGAAACAGTTGATAGACCTAAGGAGCATTTAAGAGGATGAAGGAGGGAAAAAGGAGAGAAGCCAACTTCTTACCCTTAGAGCAAATTTTTATCATTAGTATGTGCTCATCCAGCCTTTGCCAAATTAATATAAGGGCTTTAAAAGTGAATATTAGAAATCAGTAAAAAGCCAACATACGTTGCTTTTGTGATGACTCTGGCTCCCTACTTTAGGCTTAATCTGCTTCATACCACGAGGCTGAAGGTAGTTGGAAAACCACAGGCCAGGTCTCAGGCCTCTGTGCGCCCCAGGTCATGGACTTTTGGCAGCTCCACTGCAAATCATATGAAACACAAAGATGCATCCAAATTAAATTAGATGATTTTGTCATGAAGGGTTTTTTTGGGTTTTTTTCCCCAATGATTATCATTTTGCTTTTGCAATTCCCAATAATGATTTTTGTTTGTTTATTTTCTCTCATAATATTAGGACCTCTATTTCTTTTAAGACCTCAGATCTTTAGAGACAATTTAAAATCCTAAAGATTCTGCTCTTTCAGTTTGCGGGGCCTAATGGGGTCTCGTGGTCTGCCCTTTCCTCCTGTTTTCATTCTGCCTGTCTCAAAACAATTTATGAATAAGTGCTCAATGCTCAAAACTGACAGCAGGGTGTGTGTGTGTGTGTGTGTAGTACATACATATCCATGTGTGTGAGTCTCCTTTGGGGGCAGGCATATGTGTCTACACGCAGTTTTGTAGAAGCCCTAAATAGGAATTCAAGAAATACAAAGGAGTGCCCAACAGGTGCGGAAAGACTTAAATCCACGTATCTACTCTGTAGCTGCCTTTTTAGTCACTTGGCTCTTTCCTCCCCCTCGGGAAGGAACACAGACTGCCGGTCATCTCTCTCACCATCACTAACTTTGTGCTTTGTTTCCCAGCTTTGAAGGACAGCAGGTTCCAGCTGCTGAATTTTTCGAGCAGTGAACTCAAAGTGTCGTTGACAAATGTCTCAATTTCTGATGAAGGAAGATACTTTTGCCAGCTCTACACCGACCCCCCGCAGGAAAGCTACACCACAATCACAGTCCTGGGTAAGAAATGCTTCGGGGCTTATCCTGGGAAGCCAGTGAGAGGGCACCGACTGCCAGATGGCTTCCAGCAGCAAGGAAAAGGTTAATGGGAAGTTTCACTGTTTTAGGAAGAATCACCGCCCATCTTGCTGAATTTTAAAAATAGCCTATTTTGCCAAACACTCTAAGGAATGGCAATCAGCCGTCTTTATAGATTCCACCTGCTCTTGGGTTTCAACCCTCAAGCTTCAGAAGCAAAGATCAAGAGAATTTAGAGCCCTCAAATGAATCACTCACCACATGAAATGTCATTGCTTCTAATTCCCAGGAGTTTTTTTTTTTTTTCCTTCCCGTGCAGGAGAGGGGGAGACAGGCTACCACATCTGCACCCCGAGGCAGAGCTCTGTTTGGAAATCCGCTTAATGATTTTTCCTTCTGAGTTACATCTCGTTTAATATTGTTGATCTTCTTTTCTTCGGCTTGACTTCCTGCCTTGTTTATTGCTCGTACTCAAGATTACGCTGTAAAAATCATACCCCGTGAACACACACTTGGCCACAAATTGCAACTGTTGGACGTAAAAGAATTAGGCACTTCTAGGGTGACAAGGTTGATATGAAGCAAGGACAGCTGACAGGCTGCTGGGTGCGCCTCTCGTGGGTGGAGTGTCTTCATTTATGATGACCAGATGGTGACTTGCAGCGAAATCCCAGTCGCTGGGTTCCGGTGTGTTTATTTCGCTGTCATCAGCAGATATTCCTGTGTTGAAGGTGGTCTGAATTAGTCACCTTTTAGATAAACACGTACACCAACCGACTTGGGTTTTTGAAACTGAGTTTTCAAGGACGTGTTTACTATAGCATGAGGTAGGAGCGCTGATTTACACCTTTTGGAAGATGATGAATCAAAGTCTATTTGAGGCAGCAGACTGCAGCTTTTCAGTGTAATGATGTGAAGATTAAGGGGATAGACAGACATGAAGGACGTTTTTGCTTGATGTGTGTGAACATGTATGTATTTATGGATATACATATTGAACTGCTGCCTCATTACTTTACTTAAACACAGCTGTAATAGGGAGCTTTTTTTTTAATTTGTTAAACTAAAACATACCCCTAATGCTTACATAGGTGTTACTGATAGGAGGAATATTGATTTTTGAAAGTCATGTTTCATGTCCAGCCATGCTGCTGCCTTGGCTGTGGTCTGTGTTTAATGCTGTGTGCATGTTTATTTCTGATTGCGGCTTTGATCCACATTAGACCCACAGAAATAGTAAGCATGGAAGGTTTTGGTGGGGTAACTAGTTTGGTATGTGGCAGATGAACCAGAATTTTTCTGTAGAAGTCTTTGAAAATGCTGTTTGTCCGTTAGAATAAGTCATTCATTAGCTGCATACACTTCAAATTGGCCATCTTCCCATTGACCCACCGCTGTATATGGCATGTCCCCAAAAGTGATGGCAGTGAGATGGACTGTACTTACGCCATTTTGAATTTTCAGAATGTTTCACTACATGTCCCTTTAAATATGAATATCTTTATTTCAAAGAAAGAGATGATAATGACAGAGCTTAACCATCTTGCCCAGGTTATAAAGCACACAGTGAGAATCAAGAAACTTAGACTTCAGGACAGACCTTACCCTTCTGTCTCATAACCTCTGCATCTTCTCATCTAGGTTGTTTTCAATAAAATCCTGAATGCTGCTGTTTCAAAATTTCCTCCCCGAAGGTGCACATCTTTTGTTTTCAGGAATATATCTGGCCTTTGGCAAGCAGTTACTGCCTGTCCGTTTTCGGTATTTGGTAGGTTTGCTCTCAGACCCACGAGATTGGGCCAGTTTGGCTGAATACACCCAGCACTAGACTTCTGAGAGGTGTTTGCCTGAAATCCTTTTGGAAGTTTGATTATTCTGCAAGTAACAGGTTCCCTGCCTGTATTACATAGAAGCATTAACTTAAATATACTTGAAAGTAATACTAGAGATGCTCTTTTGCAGATATGCATTCATTTAATATTCCTTCCATTGAATGTATTCTAGGATCCCTTGATGGAGTAAAATTGTTGTCATCAGTGCTTGAGTCTTTCATGTTCCCAAATCTGACAATTTTCACTGATACTCATATATTCAGCCCTTCCTTCTAAGGTTTAAAGTTTTCAGATATTCTAATGACTGAAGAATGATCTATTAGCATCATCTTCATTGCTTTCTCGAGTTCTCTGAAAAGGACTCCATATGTACGCACACAGCTGCCAAACTTCTTGGTAGGTTGAAGATGCTCATTTCAGTGCATGTGCCTCTATTAGCTGTGCAAAGCGTTCAGCAAAAATTTCAGCATCATTATAAGACACAGAGCTGGGTGTCTGTTAGTTATGATTATGTTTAATACCTTTTCCATGTGAAAACTGGAAACTCTCCTGTGATACTTTGCATGCCTCTGGGTGCCTTTGGGGTATTCATTCACTCCCTCCACTTGTGATGAGTTTGTTTCTTCAGATCAGAGTGGAGGACTCTCTTTACACTGCTGTTCATGAGCAGAGAGGAACAAGAGAGAATACACTGCTTTAAGATTAATATAGTTACTGATAATAGTAGCTAATATTATTACAGCCCTGTCCTTCTAAGATTAGTGTTCACTCTTAAGATTCCAAGAACAGGAGAACCTAATTATTTTAAAGGGTCTTAGAGTGAGATTTCACATACTGATCAGCTTTAAGACTCCTCTTTTGTTGTAATTAATGTGATTCATCTTGATATTGTGGATTTTTTTTAATGTTGTAGGCGTAATGTTTATAATTAGCACTCTTATAGATTTGAGGTTAGCGAAGAAGAACCTTGACATTTCTTTGCTATTTTCTAGCATTTTCCTCTATGGGATTTTCATTCAGGCTTTTATCTATATGCACCTCCTTAGATACATCTTTGGTTATTTTCATTAATGGCTTCAGGCAGTTTTTAGTAAATGTGTCTGTTTAGTGGACCATGTGTAAGTGTATTCTCTGGTTAGTAGCAGTTTTAATTCATTTTTCTTATAAAAGGATTTTTATATTTTACTAACCTCTTTTGTAGTCAAGTAGACATTATGAAGTTAAAGGGAAAACGGGAGAATTAATAGACCAAAAGAAACTTTAAGATTTTCTTCTCCAATCCCCTTTCAGAAAGACAGACTTAGATCACCTCATTTACATTTTCCAAAGCTTTATCGCTTAAAAAAATCTGAGAGACGTCAGCTTTATGACTGATATCAATAAACCATTATGACTCACATTATCGGATTTTATTTTATACTTGTAAACCAAACAACTCCTACTAGACATGACTGTTTCTTCTTCTAATCTTAGTAGAGATCAGAAACACTGCCCACAATCTTGAGAAAACTGTTTGTGGACTTGGAAGAGAATCATTCAACTATTTCTCAGCATGCTTTTCTCAACAATCAAAAAGTCCTTTAGTTTTCTACACTGGTCGTGTTTTCCAACACTTTTGACATTTTGCACATGTTTGCCTTAGCTGTCAAGTTAAAGGTGATATCAGTTCTTCAGAGGAGCCTGCATGGGCACAGGGGTCACTAGGAAGGGTTAGGGACCGGTGGGGTCTACCCGCTGCAGTAGAGGAGATATTGACATGGGTAATACCAAATGGTAGGAAATCCAGATAAAGACATCTTTGCTGTCAGGCACGCTCTCAGCCCCCAAACAAAATCTAAGAGATATTGAAATTTTCCCCTGGCCTAATTTATACCTACTCCTTGGCCACTGCCTGACTTTGAAGCAGCAGCCATTACCAATGACGTGGAAAGATCACAGCATCATTCTTACGACCATCCTCATCTCATGGAGAGAATGAATACTTCCTCCACTCGGAAACTCCACAGAGGATGGCTAGCTTGTGGCGGTTGGAAGGAGCCTGTGAGGAGGAGAGAGAGCTCTCAGGTGTCTTCAGGCTCCACATGAAGGAGGAGAGGATGGAGGAGAGATACCCAGGAACACAAAACAAATAGCTGACAAAGACTGGTTTTTGAGCCTTCATGCCAGTGAGACTCGACAGTTGACATTTGCCGAAACCTTTTAACAACTCCTGGATCTGTTCCCGTCAGGAACGTTCCCAGATTACCGCAGAATGACCATCAAGGTGTTTCGCCCAAAGTTACCCACGCATGCCGGGAGCTGATCTGTTCCATTCGGTGATGTCTTCCAGGGAAGAGAGCTTAGTATGTTACAGCACCTTCAGCAACCCGTCCTCTTTCTGTCTCATCCTAAGAGAGCCACCTTCCGGGAGTATCCCCTACTCAGTTTGAGTTTCCTTAAATCGAGTCGTGTCCCATCAGTTACAGTACTCAGTTACATTTCCCACTGAAAATCACTGCCTGTGTCAACACCAGGAATTACTTTCATCACGCTGTTTTTATTTTTGCCTGGACCTTGAAAAGAATGAATGTTGTTTGACTTCCATTCCTACATTTGCTGGGGGGGCGTTCCTAGCTCTCTTCCTCCACAGTCATTTCCCTTTTTACCCAAGCCTCATATTCTGTTCCTCACGGCTCACCAAGATCTTATTTTCTTCCCGCTTGAACAGTCTTTTCTTCTGACATTTGCGCTAACGATGGCATGTTTTCGATGTTCCTATTACACCGCACTCAGAATTTGGTAGTCTTTGTTGGTCCCAGGCGTCTAGTCTCTGTGTATTCCCTGGTAACTCCCTAGGTCCGTGTAAGGGACATCTGTAACCGACCCGATTGTCATCTAGCAAGGATAAGCTGTTGAGGAAATAGCTAACTGAAGTCTCCCCATGCTCTTTTGTCCCCGCCTTTCTGTGTCTTAAAGACACTGGCAGATGTGCAACTCCAAACTGGATGTGAGACTGTCTCTCTTTATGCTAATTTTTTTCTTAAAATGTAAACTGGGGTAGTTCTTTGCCACGTTTAACGACTCATCGGGGCCATATCACTTTAGTAACGCGTCCAGTTGAGCAACTGTGTTAGTTTCCTGTTACGTGAGGAGCAACGAAAAAGCCTGCTCTCACTCTATTGGCTATACCCCCCTCCCCAGCCCCCCAAGTATCTTGCTGAGAAACATACACACAAATCATTTCCCTTTTCCTTTTCCATCATTCTCTATGGGAATTTTCAGCTGCTTCAATTCAGTGTAAAAGTCTTCCTGTGGGCAGAATTTTCACATTGGACTAGAACAGTTGGAAATCCCAAATACATGGTTTAATCCCATAATTTATTGAAGCTGTATCAGAGATTTATTATTCAACTTGATCATCAGGATGGCATGTTTATACATATTTAATTTCTTGTTTCTCTTCTGCGTTGAGAAACTTATTAATCATAAGTCTTAGAACTGTCTTTGCTTATTCACGGTGGTCAGGGCACATTTTCTTAGATTCCGTCTACTAAATTCAGTATTCTCACTGATTTTTATTTCAGGAAGCTCATTCTCAAGGTAAGGTTGCACCTTCTGTGAAGTTCACCGCCATCTTGGCTTCATAGCAGATAACACACTCTCTTCATCACCACCATCATCCTAAACAGTCTCAATGGGATATTCAGCATGTTAGCCTCAAAATATTATATTCTAACCGTTTTATGACATCTGTGTTGAATATGCCGAGAGAAGGGAGGTGTTAACTCTGAGGTATGCATCTACTTACAAGCACTTAATAGCCTTTCTCACCTTTGGTTTCCAAAATCTGGAGCTTTGGAGTTGAAAATATGCAGAATCATTGCAAGTTAACTGGCATTTCCTGTATTACTGCATCTTCGTGTCTAAAGGATTTTATGACTTTAAAATTGGAGGTCCTGATCGTATCCTGGGTCTCTGAATATTTTTAAGTGAGTGGAACTGGCTCTGTGGCACAGTTTTTCCATGTATGTTTATGGTGAGTGATTCTTTTACGGGGCTCCACGGTTTTGATCTTTGCTGGTTGACTCTGGAATCTTTCACATGAAAATTGAAATCCAAGGGTTGAGTTGAAGGAGAAAGATTCTTTTCAGAAGTTTCCAGATAAGGATGGTAATTTCCACAGTGTGTACTCCTCTGACTTTTATATCTACTTCCTGGTCAATTTCCTAATGACTGATTCGTAAGTTGTCTAGTATCTGTATTGTTATGACTTGGTCACTGATGACTTGGGAGTGGGAGACTGGTCGTTGTATCAGATAACTTTAAAGGAGAAATTCTAGATTAAGTGAGTTTGCATAACTCGCTTTATTTGATGATGACTTTCTATGTCTTCTTTGTTCCCTCCAGTGGTAGTTTGTTTTAAATTCCCACCAAGCATGTCTATTATTTCTCTTTTTTTTTGACAGTAATGGTCCTCATTTCTAATGAATAGAAGAATTATGTCCAGAAATATACTCTGTGTTTAAAATGCACACATGTTTAATTTGCAGTCCCACCACGTAATCTGATGATCGATATCCAGAAAGACACAGCGGTGGAAGGTGAGGAGATTGAGGTCAACTGCACCGCCATGGCCAGCAAGCCAGCCACGACCATCAGGTGGTTCAAAGGGAACAAGGAGCTAAAAGGTAAGATGCAAGTTGCCCTGCACTGAGGTAGCCAGTCGGCACTTAATCCCCGCAAGAGTATACCTTTACGGAATGCAAGGGTTGATGCAAGATATGCCCCCAAACAAAAATACTCATTTAGATGTAGTTCGTAATCTGTTACTAAATGCATCTGAGGCCAAAGCATAGCAGCAGTTTATTATTCTAATTCATATCCAACTTCTGTTGTTTGAGGGTTCATGGTGCAGTGTGTTGCTAGAGGTTTGTTCAGAGGCTTAGAAAGAACCAGACCTGTAAACTAGAACTCTCTAGACCAGTTAGACCCACCGAGGTGTCCCCTGAGCTCAGGCTGGCCACGACTGTACCTTTAGCTCTCCTTGCTTTTACCCTGTGACCCAGGGTGGGTCAGGACCCCAGATTCTCACGTTATACACTGAAAAAAATATACAGTGAATGGTGACTACAGAGTCATCCAAACATCTGTGGGACTCTCAGCTGTTTTGACAGTGTGCTTTTCCTGCGAGGGTGGTTGCATTAAGCGGACTAAGAATTTATCTTAATTGTGAATTTGCAGGCACCACCCTTCTTGCAAAATTTATGAGCGTGTCACCAGCCTGTTATTTTGCAAAGCTTCTGATTCCATGGTGGCAGTGCGGGCAGCTCCTGTAACCCTGCCCACATCCCATCGTCACTCCCTCAGTACTGGGCCTCCAGACTTGATTCCTGGATCCTCAGACACCTGCCCCCTGAGCCTCTGCATGGCCTGAAGGATCCAGCCTACCCCTTAGTTGATCATTTCTTGTCAGTTTCTCAGGCAGGTTGGCATTCTGATTCCTTTCTTTGCAAAAGGTTGCCTTGCAAGCTGTACCCAGTACAAAGGACTCAGGGGCTGAACTCCTCTGGTCTTTGGACAGAAAATGCTAGCTGTATGCCTCAGTTTCCTCTACAATGGGGATATTCGTATTTCCATACCTTATGTGATTCTGATAAAGGTGAAATGCGGGAATATCTGTAAAGCATGGAGCTAGTGTCTGGGCTAAGGTAAGTGCTCTGTAGTTGCTTGTTAAATAAATAAAAGAGTGCCAGGAAGAAAAGAAGTCCTTTTAGAAAGAGGATATAAAAATCTATACCTGGAAACAGAGAAATCTATATATAACAGCTTAAGTTTCAAAAAGCTTGCTCTGTTTTCATCTCCTATTTCCTAGGTATGGTTTTGGAAGGAAGGAGTTTCTCATTTCCCCTCTGCTTTTCTGTCTAAGTGAATTGAGCCATTAAATGTGTACCGATAAGTACAAAACATTAAAAGAAAGTTAATGGTGCGTCATGTCCCGGGGAGTGCTGAGTTCGGGAAAGGGGCCTCCTCGGCCTATTCATCCCATCCGGAAGCCTCCTCCCTCCCTTTCTGGGTGTTCTTGGACGTGGCTCCCTTCTGGCCTGAAGCCTATATCTTACTCTGCTCTCTCCGCTGCCACTGCACTTTCTGTGCTCTTCCCAAAGTCTCCGAGTTTGAACATTTCAATTACAATTTCGATTATGTAAATCTGTTTAGTTACTTTCCCTCTCCATTGTTGCTGATGGGGGCGGGCAAAGAGGGTTGTTTATATCTTTACTCCCGATTGAATGACTGAAGGGGTTTGGATGCTGTCCTGGAATTTTTAAACCGCGTGACAGCCTAGATGTGTTAAGTTCAGGTGGTTGTAGGGGGAGAAAGGCCTTGAGTTCTCTTTCCCTCCTCCTGAACGCCTTGAGCAGTCAGATGTCAAAATGGGTCAACTTTCAGCTGCCTTTTTGTGGTCAGTTTTAAGATGGAAGAAACATTATGTAGCATATGTCAATAAAAATAGTATGCAATATATGCAGCTGATTTTATCTTAAATGCTATCCTGCCAGGCTGAAAAGTAGGAAATTATCATTTTATCAGTTATCTGCCCACACAGTACCCTTATCCCAGTGACTCCCAGTATGTTTGCTAAAATAGTACTACTGGGGGAAGGAGGAGGATATACAAACAGAGAGATGAAAATTCACTCAACTCTGGTTTCTTGGTACCCGCCAGGCAAATCGGAGGTGGAGGAGTGGTCAGACATGTACACTGTGACTAGTCAGCTGATGCTAAAGGTGCACAAGGAGGATGACGGGGTCCCGGTGATCTGCCAAGTGGAGCACCCTGCCGTCACTGGAAACCTGCAGACCCAGCGGTACCTGGAGGTGCAGTGTGAGTACCCGTCTTAGTCCGTTCAGGCAGCCCTGGCAAACTTCCCACAGGCTAGTGGCTTACAGACAACAGAAACTTACTGCGTGCTGTTTGGAGGCTGGGAAGTCCAAGGTCAGGGCACAGGCATGGCCACGTCCCAGCAAGAGCCCTCCTCCTCCTGGTTCGTGGCTGGCGCCTTCATCCGGTGGAAGCAGCCAGAGAGCTCTCTGGACCCTCTGTTGTAAGAGCATGAGTCCCATTTGTGAGGGTGAAACCCTCACAATCTAGGCACTTCCCAAAGGCCCCACCGCCTAATCCTATCACATTGGGGATTCAGATTTCAACATACAAGTTTGTGGGGGGGACACAAACACTTAAACCATAGCATCACCGCAAGTCTTTTATCCTAAGGGTACAGAGTAGCAGTTTTTGAAAAACACTTCAGAAGCCACTTATTGAATACATATGTTTTTAGATAGTTTAGATAGAATTTTTCTCTTGTTGTCTCAGTAGAAAAATAATCAAAGGATTATTTTACTGAAACACTGCCATCTTAGAGAGTGCCAGTGAGGATTCTGAAAATACTACATTTAACCCAAATGTAAAACTTTAAAATGATTCCAATCTGCTCTAGCGCATGGCTTAATTAATTAAATTTTGTGAATATTGACTGTAATCATTTCTATGCCAACTTCAAAATCTAGGGTAATTTCCACCCCCCAGCTGTATTAACCCTATCGTTAAGCGCTGAATTTTTTTTAGCAAAGGGATTCTATTCCCACTGAACATCAGCGTTTTTTGTAAGTTGCACGTTCTCTTCCACTTTAAGCTTAAATTAAAACGATGAGTTTAAAAGTGGCGCTCTTTGGGATCAATGCCACGGTCTTGATGGCTCCATCAATAAAAGCTGGGTGGTGGTGAGTGTCTCCTCCCTGCGCCCTGGAGACTAAAGATGCTCTCCCCAGCTTATCTCCTCTAGGTTCTGCTAATTGTGCAAAAGATATCTGGTTTTTGCACACACAAAGCCTCGCACCAAGGTTGTGGCTGAGTAGCCAGCTTCTCGCTTTTTATCAAAAGGCTTCTATAACACGGCCTCTGAAAAATTCCAGGTGATACTTGAGTGTGGTGCACAGTGAAGATGTTACAAGAGTTTGGTTAGATGGCTATGACAGGGCATCAGATAAGGAAGAGCATGACCCTCCAAGAATTCTGTTCATTTCTTAAGGGCTGCCGTAACAGATTTGCACATACTCAGTAGCTTCAAGAACAACAGAAGTGTATTCTCTCGCCACTCTGGAGGACAGAAGTCTGAAATCAAGGTGTCAGCATGGCCAGGCTCCCTCCAAAAGCTGTAGGGAGAAGATCCTTCCTTGCCTTTTCTGGCTTCTGGTGGCTCTGGGTGTTCCTTGGCTTGCGACCACATCACTCCCGTCTGTCTCCGTCTTGACCTGGCCTTCTTCTGTGTGTCTCTTGTAAGGACACTTGTCATTGGACTTAGGGCCCACCCAGATAACCCACAATGGTCTCAGTTCAATATCCTTAACTTAATTGCATCTGCAAAGACCCCTTTTCCAAATAAGGCCACCGTCACGGGTGTCAGAGGGTAGGAAGTAGATGTATATTTGGGGGACCGCTCTCCATCCCACTACAGTTTTTATCACCTGTTTAAATTGGGCAAAACAGGAAATAAGGGAAAGTTATACAAAGTTGCTTCTGCGAGACCATCCCATTCCAGCCTCCGCTGTGAGCCTGGCTCAATTTAACATTACATAATGCAGGTTCTTCTTGTTAATTCATTTCCTCTACTTCATTATGTAGCTTCATTATGGGCATCATGCTTATAATTTTCACATCGCTAGAACTATTGTGGTGTAATGTCCCTATAATGGGAAAACAGAAACGATCAGATATTATCTAAATTGGCAGATAGGAGATTTCTTGTGACTTTGTTAATATGTAATTCATTTAAGCAAACTTAATATCCATTAACTTTCCTTGTAAGGGCCCATTAGCCTTAATAATACATCAGCTCCTTTGTGAGACCTGAGTAGATACTCACCCGGTTCCCACCCCTAAATTCTTTGGTTTCCCAGAGTGTCTTCCCCACCCACCTACAAAATTGCACTCACTCCCAAATGCAAAATCTCTGAAGCACTACACCTCCTACCCCTTGGAAGACTTGCTAATGATCTTTAGAAAGCCTTTTGTTTTGAAGATTCAAGTGACGTTTTTCCTTCTAAGAAAAGGGGTAAAACTCCATATCTGAATCCATTTGACCTCGGTCTTACGCGTACTGCTAGCCCTTAACTGCAGGAAGGTGACTTTGAACGCCTTCCTCAACTGAAGACACCTCCATGGATCATTTTGTACTTTCACATGGCACCCTTTTCATAGGAGATTCTCTGTTCTTTCACCCAATGTAAGCCACACAGACATTGTATCCTTGAAACACCATTTCTCGAAAGGTACGTAAGGAAAAATGTCTTTTCACATAAAGGAAGATTAAGAATTACAGAGCGTTCTATTGATCTGAATGGAGTTTAGAGTCTGGTTTGTCATCTTAAAGAAGACTCCCTGTGCTCAAGGAAGTCAGCTGATGGCCCACTACCCTCCATTCCTCCATCCCACTGCTGAAAAATTGGCGAAGTCAGCCAGAAATTCCTTAAGTAGCTTCTTCAAACACAATTGGAATCCTCTACTTCATTACCCACCAGCTTTACTGCCCTTGAACACCAGCAGCCACGGATAACGAAAAGCCTCGTGCCTCAGACGCCCAAGGCACTCAGTCACTGGACTCTTGAGCGTTCTCAGCCCTCGGCCAGCGGTGTTGGTGGTTCAGTTCCATTCCTCCCCTAGGACCCTTCTCTCCGTAGACAAGCAGCACCATATCTTGATGGCCGTGCGAAGAGAAGAGATACTTGAATGCACGAGTTCAGCAGCCAGTCTGCATGGATGGTGAATTACTTTAGAAACCCTGTGAGGAATAACATTAGCTCATTATTTTTTAGTTGTCAGCAGTTCTCAACTTTTTGGAGATCGTTGACCCCTCTAAAAATCCTTTGACAGCTGTGGAACTGGAAAAGATGAACATTCACCACATTTTCCTTCCAGATTAGGGAGTCTATTTACCCTACACAATTTCCCTAATTTTAGTTCCTCGAGGGCCACTTTCACAAGTTTTACCAAATCCACGGATCATCTGTGTTCTTACCTCGTTTAGAATTTTTCTTTAAGTCCTCTTCCTGCTTCAACCTAGCCAAGCCCTATGTAAGAACACCTGTAAAATCATGAGTTTTAATTGCTATGTATAGTATAGCTAATGAACATTAAAAATCAATATATAACCATTATTTTTTAATGTCCTTTCCTTTGCCACCTAGAAAGATTTCTTATACTCAATGATAAACATCCGTTTATCACCAGGAAATCCTGAGCTGGTCCATGGACCTCAGATTAAGAATCACTCTCCTCTGGGTAAAGGAGACCACCTTGGGGGCAAATCTCAGCTGATAGATAGCATTGGTGTTAAGTGCTTCACTTAGCTCAACCTGGCCCATTTTGCTACATAAAGGTTTATGAAAATCTCTCTCTACCTCATTGAAGACAGATGGATATTATTCAGACTAAGAACAGGGTAAAATGACAGATAATGGATTTGAGTTCCGTATAAACTGTGTCCTTTTAAGAAATATTATTTTTTAAAAAGGAAGTGAAATTATGAAAACCTACGTTGTATGCCATTAAACACCTTACTTGAAAAATGACAAGAAGGAGGAGGAGGGAAATGAGGGGAAGTTTTGCACTCTCTCCTCGACACAGAGTGCTACCGTGTTGCCTAGAAGACAGGTCTTGAGCTGTAACTTGGAATCCCTTTTGTCTTGTGGATTTAAGTCCTAATTAATTGAACACAAAATTTTGCAGCATTCATTTGGTAGGACACTTATTTGTGGTGCCAGGAGAAACTGTTGTGCCCAATTATGTGAAAAATCAGCCAGATGTGTATGCTGTCATACTTTTAATAATCCTTAAGTTTTTGGTGAGTACAGATATTAATTGTGTAGTATGCATTGAAGTGATTAACATCAATGTAATTTATCATCTGGAGATTTCTGAACATAAATAAATGAGTTGTTTTGTTCAGCAAGGTGTTGACCTCTCAGAATTAGTGAATTAATGTCCCCCCCTCCCTTTTTTTTTATTATAAATATGAAAGGCACCACAATCAGCCAAGTGTTCAGTTATTTGATTTTCTGGGGCATTAGCCGCTCTTGTTTGTGACATTTCCCTGTTGGGTGCTCGTTTGCAAGCTCATTAATAAGGTTTTCTCCTAGGACCGTTGCTGGGAACGAAGAACATACAGTAGGGCTCTTAGTTTTCTAGCTTTCATTCTGGGTCTCAGCAAGGATACGGCAGCAGCACGCGGTTAAACGTTTAAAACAGAAAATAATTATGCTCGCGAGCTGGAATTCAAAGCTCTCTTTCCTTAGATGTTAGGCAGAGAACAGTTTTGCTTTTCATGTTCTGAGCTGTGTGACCCTCAACTCTTTCTGTGCGGTTTTTACTCTTTCGAATGTGTGTCGATGGAACGTTGCTGAAATTTACAACATGGTTGATTACAGCAGAACGTGATACAATTGTAGCCCGGTTAGTGGGGCTTCAGATCTGAGGGAACACACTCTTGTCAAATAAAAGCCTGTTTAAAGGAGAGCAGTTCAGTGTCTGAGCGTTAAAAGAAAACTGTCTAAATAGCATCAAGGTGGCAACACATAGCGACATGAGCTGGGAATTCAAAGAGAAGCTGTGACCCTCAGTATGAAATTCAGATTGCCGTGCGAGGGGGAGGCCTTACTCTGGACCCAGGTGAATCCGAGGCTCTGGAATGACTGCTGTGTGTCCTTTGCTTTCCCCCATCACAGCCTGGCCCTTTAAAATGTTTTGCAAAAATCCTCCTCCAGTGAGGGTTTTGTGTGTGTGCATATCTGAAAAAAAAAAATTAAGAGATGAGTTTTGAAAGGGAGAAT